GTCTCAGTGTTCTTGTGGAGGGTTGACAAACAGTAGACTAGGCTCATATACTGAAGATGTTTGCGAGAACAAAGTGACCAGACAGCAAGAACAGTAAGTTAAAAGGAGTGTGGCTAACCACGCACTGTGCAGGACACCAAAGAGAAATAATACGCCAACACAGATCTGGTGTCATCAGCTGCTACGCACTGGAGGTATAATTCAAGGGGGGTCGATGGGGGGGGGGGGGGGGGGGGGGGAGAATGGCCACAGCTGCACTGATCGAAGCACTTATGGACTTAATGGTGTGATGTGCGGTGAGCTGTTGCCTCACTGTCCGGTCACCAGAACTGGAAAGACCAGATCAAACAGTCAAAAGTTATGGCACAACCTGCTTCGGGACTTTTCAAAACAGCAGCACCTGTTGTAGAACAGCTGTTATGTTTTTATCTTGTTTATTTAGCTTCCAATTTCAAAGTGGAGAAAAGCTACTGTTATTTTTCAATGACTGTAATTTCTCTTGGATTGTTCTGTTCCCTTCTATTTTGTGCACATTTCAAATGCAGAATACTTTTTTTTTTAAGGATAGCGTGTATTATAGTTGTGCTGTATCAGGGCAGAATAGTGACCGATAGATTTGGCAGCCTCAACCACGCTGCCTTTGCACTGTTTTGATGGCGGCAGCTTTTTATCTGGAAAGACAGAATCTCGTCAGCAGGGAACTGTCTAGAGAGCAGACTCAATAAAAGATGTCTCCAAAAACAGAATGTGTCAACCATTTTTTTTATTATAATAGGGGGGAATCAGCATTAAGGGTTAACTCAGTGGCCAGGCCATGAAGCTTTTAAACTGATTTCTTCCACAACAGAATCTCCCAGAGAGACAAGCATTCACGGAGAAGGTCCAGTCCCTGGTCTCAACCTTGATGAAGTCTTTGCCGATTGACTCAGCTTGTGATCAGATGGGCAAACAACTGATGCAAGACTCCATGCCCCCAGTTCTTTCTGAAGGTTGGTCTTCTGCTTGTTAGCAGTAAAGTTAAAAAGTTGAAAGGATAAGCTTTATAGCACTGGGTTTTAACCCATATAGCATGGGTCTCTTTCCACAGAGTCGATGCGAACGCTTCATAATGCACAATGGAGCCATGAATGAACCCATGACCTTCAGAGCATGAGGCAAGCGGTTTGACCACTTCATTATGGAGATTTTAACATTGAGTAAGTGACCACTTCATTATGGAGATTTTAAAAAAAAAAAAAAACAGCCAGGGATGCCATTATGATACCATTGGCGCACTTGGCATTTAGTGTTAGACCAGTCACATTTATTGGCCAGTTATCACTTGAGTGATTATGTAGTCAGCATCATACAGACTGCCTTTACCTCCCAGGATATTTCCTGTATCAATTTTAGGCTGGGTTGACCTGGGAGACCAGGTAATTTATAACAAATCCACTCCCTTACGGATTCGAAACCAAGATCTAGAGGCCAGCAAGCAATCATCTAACCACTGCCCTACAGTTCATTCCCTATATGGGTTCTTAGGCCCCATTGTGGGAACAGCAAGAATAGATCCACCCCCCCCCCCCCCCCTAACAAGCATATTGTAAAAGTCAACTAAGTAAGGGTTCCTTCAAAGTCTGAGTGCATCTGCCTGAGAGCAAGGAACCAACAGTCTGCATACAAATAAGCCAGTTCTGTAAAACGGATGTACATGCAAAACTTGAGTTTAGAAACAAAACTAGTGTCCAGAAGTAGATGACCAGCCAGAGCTGTCCATTGGAGTATACGGCCAGCGGATGCAAAGAAGAAGAAAAAAGTAAGTTTAAATATGCCCTGCCAGATTGCATAGGTGATCATTTTTCTCTTCGACTGTGTTTTTGTTAGAAAATCTTATAGCAAACCACTTCTCTCAAATGGATAGGTTGTGTTGGACCATAGGCTAGGGAAGCTCACCCTAAAAGAAAAGCACCCTAATGTCGTGGATGACAGGCCAGAAGTTGTTTTTTTAAGAAATGTTTTCTCCAGAATTTCCACAGGGTCATGACTCTTTTTTTATTTTTAGCATACCAGGGCAGATAGGTTAATCTTGTTCTTTTTCGCGTTCACCAGCTGTAAAGTTCTGATTGTTCATCTACTTCTGGACTGCAGTCCTGTTCCAGAACTTGAGTGTTGCATGTGCATCTGTTTTACAGATCTGACTCATTTGTATGCAGACTGTTGGTTCCTTGCCTCTCAGGCAGATTCACCCCGAGTTTGAAGGAAGCTTCTAATTAGTCGACTCTTACGACAGGCTTTCGTGTAGGCAGTGGGTCTATTATTGTTTTCCCTATAACAGGGCCCCGGAACCCACATGGGTTAATGATAGTACCGATTCTATCCACCAGGTGAAAGAATGTGCAGTCTCCATGGTGCTGGCGAGAGGTGGGATGCCAGGCTTGGTAGAGTCATCGGCGTTTCGGAACTGCAGCCTGATACGGCTGTGAAGCTCATCAGACGTGGAGCCATAAGGTATGCCTTTGTGTCTGTTGTCTGGCAGTAGTGTTTGTGTATGTTCGTTAGTTAATCGACTGATTATCCTCATTGCACAAGTCCATAACAACTCAGATCCCATCTTCAGTTTATCCGTCATTGTATGGTGACTGCCAATACCAGTTTTTTTTTCTTTGTGGCTACCTGTATAATGTTCTGTCTGGCAATACCTTTTTGACCTGAAGTTCCTGTAGTCTTCTGTATGTTGCTGACTCACTGTCGTCTTCTGAATCAATTTCTTGTCCTGCCTGCTTGAAAGCAGGCCCAATTCGTTACTTATCCAATACCATCTTTGGTATATTGGCAAACTAATCCGATCATTCATTCCTTCTTACTCCAGAGTGCCCTTGCTCAAAAATAAAAATGTTTTCAGGTAAGATCTCCTTAGAGACTCGAACCATTGTCTTTGAACCAGTCTTGTCTCGATCTCCTTAAATGAACTCTTGGAATCACGTCATTGCTCTTGTTACCCCCATCACTTCCATAGTATGACTACACATACATACACAGCTATTTTTTAAATTTCTTCCTCAGTTTGTGTCTGTGTGTTGTGGTCCTCTACTGTGTAGTATATGTGCCGTTTTTTTTAATACAAAAAGTACTGACTTTCTCTACTGCTTCTCTTAACACACACGTAAGAGAGAGGCAGAAGTAAAAGGCCCCTTTCTCCACGTACACATACCCCACCTTTCTGCCTCTCTCAGCACACACATGAACCCACACACAAATGCGCCTGTGCACACACGCACATGTGAGAGACTGTTGTGTCGTTGAATGTTGAGCTAAGAACTGACATCACAGTAATCGGAACATTCACATAAGCACTCGATCCTCATCTTCAGCAGCCAGCAGAGCGTTCCAGTTCCGATGGTTACAGCAGCAGATTGTTTATATGTCCATTTTGTCTTTCTGTGAGTGTGGAATTTTGACCAGATCCCCCTGGCCGCTCCTAGTTGTACCATTTCCTTCAGTCGATAATGTTCTATTTATGCCTCTGCGTTGTTCACTGCCTTGAGGGAGTAATCTTAACTTGATGTGCATAAATTCACCACCCATTGGTGGTGAGAGAGAGGTAAAAGTAAAAAGCTCCGTTGTGTCACGAGTTTTATTTGGTATATGGTGCTGTCCCATATTTGTACAGAAAGGCGGCACTTGATGAATGATGCAGTCAGTAACTTCACCAGATGAAACTGTACCTTCTTTTTCTTCACGTTGTCGGCTGTAAACTGTGTCAGAAAGTTCTGGTTGTTTGTCAACTTCTGGACTTAAGTCTTGTTCCAGACTCGAGGTTTGCATGCACAGCTGTTTTTACTCATCGGGCTTATTTGTAAGCAGACTGTTAGTTCCTTGCCTCTCAGGCAGATGCACTCCAACTTCAAAGGAAACATCCCTAATTACTTGACTCTTACTAAGTGCTTATTAGAGGGCAGAGAGGCCCCCCCCCCCCTCTTCCAACATGGCTCCCAGGAACAAACACTGAAAACACTTTTTTTTGAAATAGTATGACAAACCTCTACACATGAAAAGACTAAGCTATATACAACATTTGACATGTGAATATTCAAGACAGATTTTATTTTGGCAAAAATAAAAATGTTATCAATGAAGCAAAGTAGGTCATCCAAACAAGCCTCATTCATCTGTATCCTGATAAAATTATAATGCTGCCTGGTCAGCAGATAACTAGTAACCCGCCATTTTGTTTTGCTTGGGAGAGTTCTGTGGCTACCTGTGGAGCAAAGACGGAACATTAAATTTGGTTTCACATTAGGAGAAGTGCCCTTGAAACAGTTGAATTAATGAGATAAGTTTACAAAATTCAGCATTATTTTCATTTGCCATCATCTTCGGTCTAATATTGGTCTTCATGCATCCTGTCTGTGGCATGGGCAATGACATCGCGCCAGAGCTTCATCTGGTCCTTTCCCACACCAGTTTTGAATTGTGAACACCACCTGAATATCTTCGCGCGATAAACATTAACCGCTGTCAATTTGTCTCATCAATTCAGCCATCTCAGTAGTACTTTATCTGAGTTTAAAACATAATTTTATGTTTATAATGCTGCATATATGTAACATCAGAAGGTTTTTAAAAAAAAAAAAACCAGGAAATTAGATTTACTTTGGACTATTCTATTTTAAAAAGTACAGTAAGTTTATTTCAAAAAATTTTTCACTAACATTTCTTTTCACCTGCAGGAGGGTTGATTCAGATTTTTCTTTAGAAAAAATCTGACACAAAAATAAATACATGTTAAATGTTAAAAAAAAATATATATATATATATATAGATTAATAAAGGAGACACGGACAATGTAATGAAATCTGGAGAAAGAGTGTAAAAAAGAAACATTGACAAGAAAAAAGCATTGGCAGTGACAGAACGGCAGCAATGAAACAGGAGATCGGCAGTAGTGGTACCACTTGGGAATGTCTTATGTGTCAACAGTAACACAAACAGGATACAAATAAAACAGGAAGGTGTATTTACTTCAGATTTTTCTCAAAAAACGCAAAGATCCGACTAAAACTAAGCTCATAAGCTTCTTTGTTGAACCCGGGAGATGTCGTGTTGGCAAAGGCATGTCCTGCGTCATAAGTGTACAGCTCCGCAGGGACCCCGTACTCCTTCAGTTTGGCGTAGAATGGTTCATAGTCTTCTGGGGAGGAGAAGCCCTTGGCTTCATCCTTCTCTCCAAAGTGCAGCTGAATGGGCACTTTGATTCTGCTGTAGTCGTAGGTTTTCTGGTTTGCTCTGGGGATGCCATAGAATGGGGCTGCTGCATCCACGCTGTCAAATTCGGTAACAACTGCGATGGTTATAGCTCCGCCCAGGCAGAAGCCAGTGGCTCCAACTTTCTTGACCCCTTGTGATTTTAAGTACCTGAAGAGATTAAAATGTGGCATCATTTATTTTTAAACATATTGAACTACTGGTAAAGAAGCTGAGCTGTTAAAACATTATCCTCTCATTCGGGAGGCACAGGTTTGAATCTTCAGTAATGTGTTCACGATACTGCACTAGCTACGAGGGCCTAATCCATCATGCTCAAGAGACCCATGTTCCCCACCCTGGTAAAGATAATTGACGGCAGTTAATTAAACTACGGGAATTCGAGAAGTCTTGAGAAAATAAAGGATGTCTCTTCTGGGTTCTGAGGTCTCTTGGGGGGGGGGGGGGGGGGGGGGGGGGGGGGGGGGTGGGGGGGGGGTGGGGGGGGGTGGGGGGGGGGGGGGGGGGGGGGGGGTAGACACACCATAACATGCATGTTATAAAAGGTGACCAGCTGGAAGTATTTTCTTTGAAATCAGAGTGTGTCTGCCTGAGAGGTGAGCCAACAGTCAGCATACTAAAACAGATCTGTAAAATGGATGCGCATGCAGAACTAAAGTTCCGGAAGAAGGCCAAAGTTGATTCAGGAGTGGATATACAGCCAGAACTTTCTGCTGGAGTTTACAGCCCATGAACACAAAGAAGAAGAAGAGGATTGTATTTAAAGAATAGGGGATGTATCCTGGCTAGAGAACATGACACACACACATCGGGATTGTAACTGACTCAGAAAACATGCTGAGGAAGGTCAGGACAGGCATCCTTCGTGCAGAGTGGCATGCTTCGCTGCGGAGGTAAAGGGTGAGGAGTATTGTATGGATTTATCTCCGGGATACACCGGTGTGTTAGGAAATGAACAGGCGGACAGACTGGCTGGCTCTGCAGAACTTGGTGGAATATTGATGCATGATAAGGCAGATGTGATTAGGGCCGTATGGGAGTTTGTACAATTCAGAGAAGCAAATGGATCACTACAGTCTGGTGAGACCGATGCAGCGGGGAGTGACGAGGGGTTCTGGAAAGGCAAGGCAAACTTTTAATCAGAATGCTACTGGCACCATTAGTATTGGAATACTGCTCTGGCTGCTGAAGATGGAGACGGAGCGCTAATCAGAATGCCCCGAGTGCTGTGATGTCAGTTCTTGAATCAACTCAACTCAACTCTAGGGAATATCGTGGTGGCTGCCTTAACTTCTCAATAAATGACACCCCTATTTTAAGCTGAGTTGACCTGGATGGTAGTCATGCTCGCAAGGACACTACTGCAGGTCCTGATGAGTGTCTTGGACCTTCTCAAATGTCTAGTGTATTATTTGGTATCTTTTATAATTAGAAGGCGATCATTACTGGTGACACAGAGCCTGTGCTTTATGCAGTGCTGTCGGCAGGCAGCCAGCTGTTCTGCAGAGAGAGACAGAGGCATATGACATAGATAACCCAGGGAATTGAAGTCCATCCTCCCAACTTGAACTTTGATAAATTGTAGGAGGTTGAGGATTATGTACTGTCTATTAACATTTTCTCTCTCTCTCTCTCTCTCTGTCTGTCTCTCTCTCCACCTCCCTTGCTGACTGTATGTTTGGGAGAGAGTAAAGGTCACATTTCCACAACCCGATGGGTGTTGGGCATATCATGCTACCACCATATTTTTCATAGATTGAGATACTCATTCTGTGATGGAGTCAGTACCTCTGGTATTCTTTATGTGCTTTAGGTACATTTAGTTACAAAGAAGCTCAACCATGACCAGCTCCAGCTGACGGGCCATGCTGCTGGCGTCACCAGGTCGGGCTAACGATGCGTTAACGGAGCGATTCTCAAACAAGAAATAAACTATCTTCAACAGTGACGAGAGAGGACAGCTTACATTTTAACTTTTAAGGTTCTACGTGCCTTCTTTAATAATTTCAAAATTTTTAGCCAACTTTTCTTGATTATTGCCGCGGCACTCCTGGCATACGCTCACGGCACCGCTGGGTGCCTCGGCACCCAGTTTGAGAACCTCTGCGCTAACGCATCGTTAGCCCGACCCGGTGACGCCAGCAGCACGACCCGTCAGCTGGAGCCGGTCGTGGCTCAACCACTTCCATACAGTCTAGGAAAAGTACTGAACATCGTATGGCAAGATAAGGTCGCGGATACTTTCGTATACACTGTTCCCTACCCTCACTGTTCTAGATCCTTCCAGGCCTGTATGGGCTTATGTCATCTTTGGACTCACAGAAAGTCACAGCTCCATGACAGATGAAAGAAAGAGTGGTCATCGTCACTCGTGATGGATGAACTACAATATTTAACCCAAAACCTGTGTCTACCTGGCGAAGGCATCCACATCTTGCACAGCACCTTCCCAGTTCAAATCCTGGACGTAGTGGCCTGCAGTCTCCCGATCGATGGCCACTTTCCCTCGGTAGAGGTCAGGCACCACGGTCACAAAGTTGGTCTTTTCGGCAATCAGCTTGGCCACATCCTGGATGTGTTGGTTCATACCCCACCATTCCTACACACAAAAGAGACACAGATCTCAGTATAAAAGTAATGTTATGTTATCACATGGACATCTTTGCATATTGAGCATGCATGCTCAGTCCTCCAATGCAGCAGCCACTCCAGCGTAGTCTACCTCTGGTGTAAAAGTAAAGAACCCTTTTCCATGCCCTCAGGGGCACTGGGCATATAGGGCTAGACATCTATGTGTTTTTTAAAAACCAATTGGTACTCAGTGTGTGATGTGGTCATCATCATGCCAGCCACCTTTACTTCCCAGAACTGCACCTGTGCCCATTTAAGGCTGGGTCGACCTGGGGGACAAGGTCATTTTAAAGTCACTTTAAAAGACCTGAACCTACGACCTTCCATTCCCCAGATTAGCTTCTAGCTGCTGCACCATGGCAGCTCCCTCGATCTCTGTGTGCTGTTCAGTACATGTAAAGTTTAATAACACAGGGTGTGATTTTTATGTATCTAAGATACTTTACATGAAAACCAGTGATTTGAAAACATTCTGGTCTATGTCGTCCTATGCTGAAGAACACGTATAAACACAGCTGGAGTTATGCTTGTGATGGCATTAGTGCTATGTTTATGTTTCCTATTTAGGAAACTTATGGGGCACCTCATATGAAGGTACACTTGAAACATAAGAGATACTGATTTTAATACAGATCTGGAGACAAAAAGAGTTAAAGTAAATCTGATTGTCAGGAAAACAGAGGGAAAACAATTATGATACACATTGGCATACTCAGCACCAGTTTTTAAGAACCTTAACAAAATATAGAGCTCTAAGTTATATAGTTTTCAAACTAAGTTACGTATTTTCGGTTTTAATGTTATTTCAGTTTAAACACATGCTAGCGAAATGTTGGAGAACCACTAAAGACATGAAACAAAAGTTGAATGTGAATTTGAAAACATGTAGCCGAGGAATTGATGGACATTAAATGGCACAAATTCAAGAAAGATGCAGAAGAAGAGAAATGTCTGGACAACCACAGGTATCAACAGTTATAAGACAAACAAAATGGTGTTATAATGGGCATATCCTGAGAATAAACAAGCAGAGAATCCATAAGCAAGTAGGGAAATGGGAAACACATGGATGGAGAAAACAAGGACATCCAATAAACCCACTAAATAGACAGTGACGAGAGAGGCTGCACTGAACTGGATTCTGTCTATAATATGGAAAGAATTGTACAGGATAAAACAAGAGTAGAGGAATACTGTAAGCCAAATGGGACATATAATTGGTACCACAATGTGACAACGATGATGACCTGACTAGGAGAACTCAACGGGAACCCAAGACACTGTTCTTCTTATCAGAAATCCTTTTTTTTTTTAAAATCCAGATAAAAGTTTGAGCAAGAAAATTGTACGGTGTAAGCAAATTATTCTTGACAACAGAAATTTGCAACATCCGAGATCGCCTTAAGCGGTCAGCTCGGTAAAATTAATTGTACTGAAATAGAGTAGTGGTAAACTTGACACTGCACTGGAGTAACGGTAACGTCTGTGGAGTGGACAGTTAGCAGATACTGCAGTGAAATGTCAAAAATTCAACATGTAATGCTGAGTCCTCATTTTATGACCTCGAGCGACTAGTTGCCTTCTGCCAGAGAAAGGTCAGAACTATTTGAAAATCGGATACGGTTCTGGTCTAACAAGAAGTACATCGTCGACTGGTGGGCCGACTCAGATAGACAAATGGACCGGTTTACAGACAGGAAACTTACTTGAATAACAATAATGGCGGCTGCTGTGGTTGTTGGGTCTCCAAAAATCACCCCAGGGCAGGGACCCAGCGGGTTTTCTGAAGGAACCTCAATCTTCCTGCCAGACATTTTGTTTCTGTTTCTGCAACAATCAAGGGAATGGATGAATCATTCAGGCATTGACATCAATGCACTTAGCACATTGACATCAGTGCACTTGACACATTGACATCAGTGCACTTGCACATTGACATCAGTGCACTTAGCACATTGACATCAGTGCACTTAACAGGATCATGCCAGCCTTCCTTAAATGCCTTTTGTGCCATATTTGGCTAGATGCTGACCGAATTTCCTTGCAAACGGATCCTTTGGGAGCGATTGAACAGTGTGGGGCACAAATAGATCATCTTGATCTGAGGGGAATGATGATTTGAGGGGTTGTCAGGAAAGCTGGCAGATGCTCAGCAATCAAGGAAATGGCTAAGCAGACATACAGTCAGACTTTTATTGGTGCCATTGAAATTGGAACTGTGCACTTGCTGCTGTAGATGGGGATGGAGCACTTATGGAAATGTCTAGAGTGTAGTGATGTTGATTCATAATTCTACATTGCCATTACCCTGCAAAGGCTGATTGGACAATAAACACTTGCTTCTAGCACTAGAAGACATTGGCGATGGCATAAAAAAGAACCCTTGTTTTTTTGTTTTGTTTTTTAAATAGTTGGGTTACAGTGTTGGTGTTCTATGCTCTACTTCAGGGGCTATTCAACTTGTGGCCCGCGGGCTAGAGCTGGCCTGCAGATGCCTAGTAAGTGGCCCACCAAATCATTGCCATTTGTATTGTATTAATAATCTTGCAATGCTGGGGCTGCTCTGGTACATGACTATCCTAATTTTCCAAATGTTGGCCCCCTGAGTAAACTCTGCTCTACTTGATGACCCATGTGAGGTATTGGTGATAACATGATCCACGTGTCTGTAATTTGCTGTACTTCATTGGCTTCTGCAGCTCCTTATGTGGGGTTCATACCTCTGCCTCATTGTAGGGAGAACAAGAATAGACCCAGCTCCGCCCAAAAAGGCATGTCGTAAGAGTAAACTAATTGTGGGGGGGGGGGGCTGCCTTTGAAATCAGGGTGCATCTGCATGAGAGGCAAGGAACCAACAGTCTGCATACAAATAAGATCTGTAAAACAGATGTGCACGCAACAGTCATGTACTGGAGAGGTGAACAGCCAGATCTTTTTGACGGAGTTTGCAGCCGGTGAACGTGAAGAAGGAAGAAAAAGAAAATGTAGCATGCTTGAGGGTGTAGGTCGTTCATGTCTTTTCACAGATCCTCATGTTTTGGAACAATCATATATTTCCATACTATTCTTTTTTTTTTTATAGATCATCTAGCATCTGCTGTCTGTCTTTTCCACTGCCAGTCTTACCAATGTCCTGTCTCTTCTTCCACTGCCAGTCTTACCAATGTCCTGTCTCTTCTTCCACTGCCAGTCTTACCAATGTCCTGTCTCTTCTTCCACTGCCAGTCTTACCAATGTCCTGTCTCTTCCACTGCCAATTTTTCCAGTTCATTATCTCTTCCACTGCAAATATTTCCAGTTCATTGCCAATTTTTCCAGTGCACTGCCTTTTCCACTGCCAATTTTTCCAGTTCATTGTCTCTTCCACTGCAAATATTTCCAGTTCATTGCCAATTTTTCCAGTGCACTGCCTTTTCCACTGCCAATTTTTCCAGTGCATTGTCTCTTCCACTGCAAATATTTCCAGTGCCCTGCCTCTTCCACTGCCACTCTTTCTATTGCACTCTCTCTTCCACTGCTATGTCCAGTGCACTGTCCCTTCCACTGCTGATCTTTCCAGTGTCCCTCTTCTTATCACACGGATCTTCGCAAAGTCAGCAGTTAATACACATTTTCACTACAACCAACCACCATTGTGGATACGCTACACTTTATTTTAGAATACCTTGCTTTAACCGACACCGCATAGTCTTTAAAAAACACACATAAAAACGAAATGGTAAAAATAATAATAATATACACGGAAATGCAATTGCAGACTAAACCAAATGTGTTGCACTTACAGAGAAGATATGCAAACTTGTGTGCAGGCTACGTTGTGAAACTGCCTAGTCACGCTATCACTTCAGATAGATACGGTCGATTAGAAAGACAGGACTCCACCATTATATGTGTTTACTGTCTACTTTCTACTAGTCACTCTTTGTGTTCACACCGGGTGGGGTCACCGGAGGTCATAAACAGCCAATCGGCGATAGACTTGCTTATCAATGGGGGGCGGGTTGTGGAGACCGGGTACACCATGTGTTGTCCGGGCGCATAACGAAAGGACAGTAGTGCCACTGTTATTGTACATGCCGTACAAGGCTACTCAGGAGGTGTGGTGGGATACTGACTGGCTGCTTCGTCCCGTTAAAAAATTGGCTGCTGAGTGCAGCCAGTTACGAGCAGTTGTGTAAAGCGTAGTAGGTATTTTAAAAAAAAGGGGGGTGGGCGATCGGGAGGGGAGAGGCTGTCCTAGTTTAATAGCATAATAATGCGTGGGATATTACAATAATACATTTGAAATCGTATGAAATGTATAAATACTTTTCACGTGAACGCAAGTAGGCGGTTAAAGGGTTTTGCCTAGTTTCGTTTGAAAAAAAGGGGTTTGGGGGGGGGGGGGGGGGGTTATGTTTCGGCACCCCTGAAACATCTGTACGGTTAAAGTACCATTTTTTCACTGTAATCTCTTTTACTCTCATACTGCGCTCTCTCCTTATGATAGTCGCGCCTCTTCCGACTCCCTCACTCTCGCTCTCTGTCTGGAGTCTCTATGGCGACGTGTACAAGCAGTTTGCCTCATGCTTCGAAGAACGGGCTTCGTTTCACGGCTGCGTCATTATGTCGATGAGTGCAATTTTTATGGTGGTCGTCGCCGGAACTACGGAGTTCGTTCTTTGTGCGGCTAGCCATTCCTCTTTCTCAGTTTGTAACCTTTTGGAAAAAAGTTCGTTCGTTTCATTCTTTCTTGTCTGCTATGCTACTCTGACCACTTTTTTTTTTTTTTAACACATCGAGATTTTCTTAAGGTGAAGACCCCGTTAACATGGACACAATTTTGGTCCCTGCAGGAACTTTAGCTGTTAGTACAACACGAACTCGATTTTCGATCCGCTTAGAATTTGTGTTAACCATGTTTTTTTACTGTGAATCTGTCCCGAGATCTTTCTTTGGTCGTGTTTTCTTTTGTTCTTTTGTTCTTTATATCTTTTTATTTTATGTGAATCGTTTTTTTTTTAAAACTTTTTTTAAAAATTCATTCATTCTTTTATATGATCTTCATGACGTATCTTACCTGTTGTTATTCTTTTTGTTTCCTTTCTGCCTCTGTGTCCTTATGTTATTCAGTCTGTCTCTTTCTCTCTCTCTCTCTCTCTCTCTCGTTCTGTCTCTTTCTCCCTCTTCCTCCTGTATTTTTCTTGTATGTTTTTCCCTTTTTAATGTCTTTTCTTTCTTTCTTTCTTTCTTTCTTTATATCATGTCTTGCCCGATGTTATTTCTTTATTTAATTTGTTGTCTTTCGTACATTACCTTTTTTCCTTCTTTCCTTCTGTATTGCTTTTCATATGTTCTTTCTTTATGTTCCATAGGGTACAATAACAAGATAAAGGATATGATACTGCCATAGCGCTAAATAAATAATGTGTCACTAAACGACACCAAGGTGCAAAGTTGTGCGAAGTCATGATCGCCCAGGCCAGCTGGCAGCGCACTTTAAGAAGAAGCAGTTGGGGATGGGGGTGGGTATATACTAAGGTCCATTTACTTTAGGGCCAAACGTGCTGTTTATTGCATCAACAAGGTTCGCCAGAAGTCCTTGTCCTTGTTACTGCCCGGTCTAAGGTCACATCACATGCAGGGCTGTCGAAGTTGGTACTTTCATACACGTTTGGCACTATTTGACCCTGAGTGTAGTGGTGTCATTCCTGCCTGCTTCGGACATTAGCTAAGGCCACCTGGGACTTAAAGAGTTAAGGGGTAAGCAAACAGTTTGGCTGTTTAAGATATTGCAAGTACCAACATGAAATAATACAAAGATCGCGCAAGACTGCTAAGTGCCTCTTAGACTTCATGGTAGAAGAGGAAGGACGAATAATGAGTGCCAGGTGATTCTTTTTTTTTTGTATGTTCTCTTATCTAGTTCTTTCCCCTGCATCTATGAAAGCCAGTCAACATGTGTCGGTGTGTTTGTTCTAATTATGCTTAGAGTGATCAGTTGGGTCCACTTTGTCGTCTGCAGGTTGCTGACAGAGGAAGACAAGGTCAGGGTGTACTACAATGTAGAGAACGCCCGTGTGTACAGAGCGGTGGGGCCGAACTATCTGGAGATAACACCTGAAGTCAGTGGTTTTGTGTGCGTGTGTGTGTGTCATTAAGTGTTGTGCTTTGTTAGTCATCAAGTTTGGATTGTATTACATATTTTTTTGGTCTTTGAGTTTTGATGTCATCATATGTTGTGTTTTGTTGGTCTTTGAGTTTGGATGTCATCGTATGTTGTGTTTTGTTGGTCTTTGAGTTTGGATGTCATTGTATGTTGTGTTTTGGTGGTCTTTGAGTTTGGATGTCATAATGTGTTGTGTTCTGTTGGTCTTTGAGTTTGGATGTCATAATATGTTGTGTGTTTTATTGGTCTTTGAGTTTGGATATCATCATATTTTGTGTTTTATTGGTCTTTGAGTTTGGATGTCATCATGTGTTATGTTTTGTTGGTTTTTTAGTTAGGATATTGTAATGTGTTGTGTTGTCTTAGTCTTCTCTGAGTTTAAATATCAAGTGAACTTTTTTGTTGAAAAAAAGTTTAGATTATATCCAGTATTTTATTCAGAGCGATAGAAAGTTAGATTGCAGAGGGAAGAAGAGAATGTTTGAGTCTAAGAGTTAAAGAGTATCAGAGTGAGAATCTGAAAGATTGACAGTTAGAGGGATGGTTATGGAAAGGAAGATATTGAAAGAGAGAGAGAGAGATGAAGGGATCATGGGAAGAGAGAATGAGCAGAAGAAGAGAGAGAGAGAGTTAGGAACTGACGTTGAGACTTAACCGAAGAGAGTT